CGCCTCAGCCTCCTGAGTACCTGGGATTACAGGCGCCTGTCACCACGCCCAGCTACTTTTTGTATTTTAGTAGAGATGGGCTTTCACCATGTTGACCAGGCTTTGTCTCGAACTCCTGACCTCAAGTGATCCACTCGCCTCAGCCTCCCAAAGGGCTGGGATTACAGGCGTGAGCCACCACACCCGGCTGAGTTCATGTTCTTTAGCTAGCTTATTTAATATTCCCCCAAAGCCTAGCAGCAGGTGTATCATCTGCACCCTTTACAGGCGAGGAAGTCAAGCCTCAGGGTACTGAGCCACTTTACGGCTGGTTCCTCCTTGACTCTGCCATGCATTCTTCAAGCTGCAAATTCACCTCTGTGACATAACGGCAAGAACAGCACCCCCCGATCAAGTGACTGCTCTGTGCCTAGCACGGGGCTAAGCCTTTGCAGGCCTCTCTAATCCTCACCACAGACTGGAGGCGGGGCCCCTGCTCCACTCTACAGCCCCTAAGCAGTAACCTAGAGTTTCCACCCAGGCCTGTCTGGATTCAAAGCCCATGCTCTTTCTGCCACCCAGCCAGACACTAACTGCCCTATCTGGCCACCTCTCAGCAGAGGAGAAAGGGGCAGAGATGAGCCGGGCGTGGTGGCTCACGCCTGTAATCCCAGCACTTTGGGAAGCCAAGGAGGGAAGATCACGAGGTCAGGAGTTCGAGACCAGCCTGACCAACCTGGAGAAACCCTGTCTCTACTAAAAATACAAAAATTAGCCAGACATGGTGGCGCACACCTATAATCCCAGCTACTCAGGAGGCTGAAGCAGGAGAATCGCTTGAACCCGGGAGGCAGAGGTTGAAGTGAGCTGAGGCTGCGCCACTGCACTCCGGCCTAGGCAACAGAGCAAGACTCCATCTCAAAAAAAAAAAAAGAGGCAGAGATCAGCCTTGTTCTGAGCCACAAGGCGAGGAACAGGCTGCATCCTCTTTGTTGGTGGCCACTGGGCTTTGGGGAACATCTTCTGACAGGGCCTGCTGAGCCGGATGTGGGTAAAAAGAAAGCCACTTTGACACTGACTTGTTTAGGACACAGAAACTGGCTTCAGAGACGCCTCACCCAGAGACCTTGTCCTTAAAGTAAGAATAGATTCAAGGAAGGGCAAGTGGGCGGCTGGGAGGGGGATTCGCTTGGTGAAGTGCTGCACTGGGAGACCAGGCTCGGGCATCCCACTGCCCCCGCTGCAGCTCCTGTAAATCTCAGCAAAACGAGGCACCCGTGTGAACTCATTACCCTTCCATTACACAGCCCTGCCAGCCCTGCAGGCCAGAGACGAGGCTGCAGGAGCCTGTGTCCAAGCCAAGCACCAGGAGGCGGGGCGCTGCTCAGGGTCTCCTTGTATACCCTACTCAGCCAGCACAGCAGAATGGGCACAGCCTGCCACCTGACTGCACCCAGTGTCCCATGTCTGCAGGGCTCGGCCTATAGGGAGGACATTAAATGTCCAGGGATGATGCAACCCAGCAGCCCCCATGAGTCCAGAAAAGAAGTGGTGGGTGACTAGCTGCTTCATTCAGGCCAGTTCATCTCCTATCTTTGGGAATAGTCTAGCTTCAGTGCCCGTCATGGGTTCACCCCAACTAGAACCCCTCTCAGGCTCCGAGAATGCCCCTCAGCCTTCATCCTTTGGGTGTGTTCCCATAAGCCTCTGTATCCTGAGACCCATTTGTGGTGACAGTGATCTGAACTACCACTGTTAACAGGGTCTATTTGTCAGGCAGTCCCTAGGCCGGGATTTAAGTTTATCATTAGCTCCAATTTACAGAAAAACTCAGCCTCAGAGAGAAATGACTTGTTCAAGGTCACACAACCAGGAAGCAGTAAAGTCTGAATTTAAACGAGGTCTGCCGGAAGTTCCAGCCCGTAAGGACTGTCCATGTCAGTACCTGTGGTCACCCGCACTTGTCCCTCTCTCTGAGAGCACCTAGACAGACCTCCAAGAGACTTCAGGAAGGGTTGCCAGTGCATGTCTTGTCAGAGTGGGTAGAACTTTCACTGTCCCATTTATCCCTGTATCCCCAGCATCAGCACGAGGCACTGCCACCTAACAAGTTATATATGGAGAGAAGGAGTCAATCAAGACCGGCTCTCCCTGCCCAGCACCAGGTCCCCATGCACCTCCCTTTCCCAGGCGCCAGCTGCCCACTGCGGCTCATCTGCTGGCTGCAGAGGGAAGGCTCTGCCTCACTGCTAGGAATGCTACAGGTACTGGATGACAGGGTTCCCTGGGCCCTGCCAAGGCCGCTCCTGAGACAGACAACCCAAGGGACCTCAGAGCCTGCCATGGGCTGACTGGGACAACTGCCAACCTCATTTATTACAACAGAAATCATAAATCACTCATGTAGACATGGCCCTTTGCTTGTTCGTACACACTCATTTATATCCTTCTAGCGGTTCCAGTATGAATGATGAACCAACAGGGGCCCAGAGAGGTTAAGTGCCTTGAATTTGGCCACACAGCTCAGGACGGAGTGAGGACTTGCGCTCAGGTCATCCAATTCTAACTCCGGGCTCTTTCCATCATTCCAGATGGCTCAAGCATGCGCCACCAGGCTGGGTGACTGGAAAGGGGCCAGAGGGTTGAGATTTAAATCCTAGGCCCTGAGGAATTTTACAAATTGGAATCTCTCCCAGAAGCGTTTCCTGTGATGGTCTGAGCCATACCTGTGCCCGTGCTATGTGCAGTTGGAGAAGTCAACAGCCCCTCCCACCCCACCACCAATTCCCTGAATATTTGCAAACTGTGTTTAGAGAGAAAGAGGAAGCTTTCTTGATAACTTCCTTGTTTATACTAATAGCAAAACTCCAACAACTTTGATGGGATCTGCACCAGCAATCTTTCCCTAGGGCTGATGCAGGATATTTAGGGAAGCTCTGTGTTCTAGGCAGGTAAGATAGCCAGGTTCCTAACGGGAATCAACATATCTCTTTAATTCATATTTGAAGTAAAAGAAACATCTCTCTTCCTCCCATTTGGCTCAGGAATTCATCTCTAAAAATCTATCCTGAGACAAAATTTTATGCCCAAAGATAACTCATGCATTATTTTTAATAGCAAAAAAAATGGAAACAATCTTTGCCCAACATTAGCAAGATGATCGAATGAATTATGGCATATCCATACAATCACAGACACCATTAAAACATTCTTGGCCGGGCGCGGTGGCTCAAGCCTGTAATCCCAGCACTTTGGGAGGCCGAGACGGGCGGATCATGAGGTCAGGAGATCGAGACCATCCTGGCGAACACGGTGAAACCCCGTCTCTACTAAAAAAATACAAAAAACTAGCCGGGCGAGGTGGCGGGCGCCTGTAGTCCCAGCTACACAGGAGGCTGAGGCAGGAGAATGGCGTAAACCCGGGAGGCGGAGCTTGCAGTGAACTGAGATCCGGCCACTGCGCTCCAGCCCCGGCGACAGAGCGAGACTCCATCTCAAAAAAAAAAAAAAAAAAAAAAACATTCTTTATGAAAACATTTAGATGACTTCAGGAAACACTTACGATGTAACATGAAGCCAAAAAAAAAAAAAAAAAAAGAGCAGAAAGGACATAAAATGGTATATAAAAGGGAAAAAAAAGCAGAAAGAAGAAAAGATTGAGAGGAAATAAGCAAAGATGTCGATGGAGGCTGCATCTACAGAGCAGAACAGATTATTATTATTATTTTTTGCCTGATTTGCACTTTTTTGATACTTTCCTTTTCCCCCATACACTCCTAGGATAATGAGAAAAATAAATACATAAAGCTGCCCCAGTTCACACCCCATTTCCCAGAAGAGAAGTGAAATGTCTGAACAGCCAGATAGGTGACGATCTGACTGGTGAAGGGGAGGAAGGTAGATTCCTGTCACTTTTTCCATAACATGGACACCTCTGATAGGGCCGCACACGATGGGGGTGATAGGGGGATATCCCTTGTAAATTTGCCTTTAAGATTTTCCTGGGAATTTCCATCTCAGACTCAGTTATTTGGTTCCTGACTTCAGGAGACTGTATTTGTAAGGGGTGAGGAATCCAGGTACGGGACTGCCCCTCTCCAGCCCCACACCACTCCTGTCCCTCAGGGGAGATGAAGGCCAGGCTGCAGACAAGGGGGATGGCAACTTGCATGGGTGTTACTATTGGAATCTGAGGCCATGCCCACAAGAAGGCAACTTGCAGTCCCTCTGAGCCACAGAGAGAGGCTCCCAAGGCTGGGAGTTAGGAGAATCCTGCGGCTGGGCGAGGACAAAGACACCAGCAAGTGGGGCTGCAGATAAAACACAATGAGTTGCCAGGCAGCAGCAGGACCCATGCCACTGCTCCTGATGTGCGGCTGCTCCATTTGGCTTCCAAGTAGCTTGTGAGCCATGACTCTATACCCTTTTGTTTTTGCTGCTGTTGTCGTTTTGAGATGGGGTCTCAATATGTTGCCCAGGCTGGACCTGAACTCCCAGGCTCAAAGGATCCTCCCACCTCATCCTCCCAAGTGACTGGGAGTACAGGTGAAGGCCACCACGCCCGGCCCCCAACGACTCTAAAAATCATGTACCCAACCCCATCAGATATGTGTTCAGCAATCTACGAAAACATCCAAGACCATTTCATGGCGACACTCCAGAGGAGTGGATTTAAACCTGGTCCTCCATGTTCTTTAGGTCTCCAAACCTCCATGGGAACAAATCTCCATCCCTCACTATCCCTACTCCCATTTCCAAGTTTCTGCACTTTAAAAAATAAATGATAATTTCATATAAAGCAGTCTGTAAGGCTAGAGAGAAGCATATAGGATTCCCCCTAAATCTAGGAGGACTCAGAAGCCTGAACAGCCCAGAGGAAACACAGACTTGGAAGACCCCAGATGTGAAGAACTGAGGAGCCCCTACAACTCAGGAGGTGAAAAGGCAAAAGTAAAATTCCACTCAGTCACCAGGCGGGCAGTGGGTCCCTCCCCATATCAAAGTGGTTTCAATCGACTCACCGAACATGTTACCCTCGTAGCCGTCTTTCGTTAGTGGACGGAGTTCGTTTTTCCCCATTGCATAACGCTTATAGCTCTGCCAAGCAAACTGCATCATCTGCAAGAAAAAGCAGCACAGAGAGAACCTCAGTGTGACGATTCCTGGCAGTGCGCACTGGCCGCCTGGCTTTGCCCTTTGCAACAGGATTTTAAACTACGTCTAAAAAATAATCTTCCAAATTTTCCAAATTGAAGAAAGTGACTTCCTCTCAACATGATTTTATTTGTACAGTTATAGCTGCTGGGAAGGTCATTCTTCTTAGACAACGCCATGTGTCTAGGGCCTACCCACAGATTTCTTAGAGAAGACAGAAAAAGCACTAAATTCTAGACATCCTTCAGTGCCAAAGTGAAAAGTCACCTCTTCCAGGAAGCCTTCCCTGTTTTGCTCGCTTAAAGTCATCCTCCGAAGGGAAGGAAAACGCGTGCTTGCTGTAACGGAACACTCCCCTGAGCTAGGTATCGTCAACCCATTTTATAGCTAAGGAGACAGGTTGTAGACATGAGGTAACTCATCCGAGATCGCTCAGTCAGTGAGCATGTTGGGAACTGAGCCATCCCCTCTGGCTCCAAAGCCTTAGGTCTGTCCCCAAAGCCTTGGTTTTGTCCCCTAAAATCACCATTCGAGCTCTTTGAACTCCTTTGACCTACCCTGGCCTCCCATGCACTCCAGCTCACCCCAGTTACTTGTTGTTCCTCTAGCTCTGGACCATAAACTCCTTGAGGCTAGAAACAACACTTGCCTTGCCTCAGTTTCTCCCACAGCAACCAGCACAGGGCTTGGCACAGGTAGGCATCAATGGATGCTTATGGACTGTCACCCAGAGTATGCACGAGTTCTTACGATGCAAGGCAGCTACATCGGCTCTCAGGAGCGTCACGCCAGCACCTTGCTCCCCAGCTGCCCCAGGATCTTCAGGCTGAAGCAGATGCAAGGTGACAGTCCACCCCCAACCCTGTGCTGCAGCCCCCAAGGTCTCCCTCATTTGCCTTTATGGTGTGCCCCTTTTCCCTTGGCATGGCTGGCTGCAGAGGGAGCACAGCACAGCAGAGTTCTGGAGTGACCTGTGGAGCAGAGGAGGAGCCCGGGTCCCGCAGTGGCAGCAGAGCTGAGACGCAGGTGGATGGGGAGGCAGACTAGTGTGCTGGGAAATACTCAGGCTCCCAGATCAGAGATGCCTAGGTCCTAATCCCACCTCTGCCGCGATTTCTGTGACTCTGGCATGAAATTAGTTGCATCAGCTGAGATCTGCTTTAGCAAGGGACAAGGCCAGCCTTGCCCCACCATCCTGATAGGTTGAAATGAAAGAAAGTAGTGGGAATGCCCAGTTTCCGACCAGACACAGCAAGCGATTGACAAACACTAGCTCTATTTCCTCCTTGACCTTTAAAATACTGGTTCTCCAAGCCTCGGCTATCCACCCCTCCTTTCATCCAGTCTCTTAGCTCTCAAATGTTGGCTGGCATCAGAATCACTGGGGGGCTTGTTAAAACAGGTTATTGGGCCCCACCCTGAGTTTCTGATCCAGCAGGTCTGGGGTGGGGCCCAAGAATCTGCTTTTCTACCAGTTCCCATGTGCTGCTGCTGGCCCATGGGCCACATCTGAGAAGCACCAACCTGTTACATTGTATCGCTCACTTCCAGACACTGTCCTGCATCCCTTGGCTTTCCCCTCCTCTCTCCCAGCCTGTGTTTCCCGCCTTAGCGGCCCACTTTCTAGGATATCACCACCTGTATTCTCCATGCTCGGCCACTGCTGGTGCCCACGCTTAGAAGGCGTCTCTTCCAGGCACACCAGGACAGTAAACAGCTGCTCTCACTGCTGCAGCCCGAATGCACAAACCAGGAGGGCAGGTAGACCTGACAGGTGCATGGCCTGGACTCTCCGTGAAACGGCAGAATAATCTAGCACCGCTGCCCCATTTCACAGATGATGAAACTGAGGTCCAGAGATGAGAAGTGCTCAGGGCAGCACAGCAGCCAGGTCAGAACCCGGCTCACTCATCTCCCAGAGCAGCAGATACCCCCCAGGCTTGGCCAGACATGTGGCTTCCCATGTGACACACATGCAAACGTCATGGTAATACAGTCAAGCACTTGGCACGGGCTTTGAGTCCTGGTTCCATTCCTCTGTTATTTTCTACTTATCTTCAATCGGCAATAACAACAAATAATTGCCAGGCATGAGTGCTTGAGAGAGAACGGCCTCCTCCCTCAGTCTCTCTTATCTGGGGGCTTTCTCTATTAAGTCAGTGTTGGGGGAGAGCGGGCAGGTAGCTGGGGGGCTGGGGTGGGGAGCAGCAAGCTGTTAAAGCATAAATGACAGCAGAAAAGGAGGAGGAGAGGTCTAAGCGGGGGGCCACACCCCACCCTGAAAATTCCTCCTACCTAGAGAGAAGTGGGTGTTCAGGAGTAATTACGAGAATCACAGGTATCTACGTGGTCTCAAAGAAGCTGTCACTGCAGGAATGTGAGGTTTGGAATGTGGCCCGTTTTCACAGTCATCCACAACAAGGGAGGGAATGAAGGCACAAAACATCTCAGCATCACTGGGGACTGAATTCACAAGGCAATCAGGGCTGACTCTTCGTGTTTTCGTTCCTTCAATGCACACGTGCCTCCTGACTCAGGCCATGGGTGGCTCAGCCTAGATGCTGGGTGAGCAGGGGACAGGGGATGAAGAGGACAGCCTCCCTCCCAGAAAGGTGGTCCTTCTCTCTCTCCCTAACACACCCTAAGTAAGCCCCTACTAGGTGTCCTGTCCTGTGTCTGGGCTATAGCCACGGTGGGAATGCACTCCCAGCTCCTACCCTCTGCCCCCCTGCCAACTGCCCATCTTCCTTCAGGTCCCAGCTGAAAGGGCACCTTTGCAGGGAGGCCTTCTTCCCAGCCCGAAGTCAGACACCATCCCACATTCCTGATGCAGACCCATGGTGGCCTGCAGTCAAGCTTTTATACCTGCAACTATTTGGTCAGGCCCCCCACCCCCATTCACAGCTACATGCCCCACAGTGCATCCAAGGGCCGGCACAAAGAAGGTGCTTGTTAAGTATTTGCTGAATTGGCTCTGGAGCTTAACATATGGCTGGAAGACTCAATGTGGACCACACGCTTCACAGGCAAGACATGTAACAGGCAAACAAGCCAGAGAGGAGGGGCTGCTGGACAACAGGTGTTCAGAAGAGGGCAAGTGTGTGTCTCAAGGGAAGCTTCGTGGATGGATGAACAAGAGTTCTGATGGACAGGTAGAACCGTGAGGGGCACAAGAAAGAGTGACCCACAGAAAGGCTAATGTTTTCACTCTGGAACTGGTGATGTGTGCCATGGGTAATACCTGGACTTTAGAGACAGACAGTTCCTGAAATCATGCTTAGGCAGTTCTGAGACCTCAAAGGTCACCTGGGGAAGTTCCTTAATAGTAGTCTCTCTCTCTCTCTTTTTTTTTTTTTTTTTTGAGATGGAGTCTTGCTCTGTTGTCCAGGCTGGAGTGCAGTGGTGAAATCTCAGCTCACCACAACCTCCGCCTCCCAGGCTCAAGCGATTCTCCTGCCTCAGCCTCCCGAGTAGCTGGGATTACAGGCGTGTGCCACCACGCTCAGCTAATTTTTGTATTTTTAGTAGAGATGAGGTTTCACCATGTTGGTCAAGTTGGTGTCAAACTCCTGACCTCAAGTGATCCACCTGCCTCGGCCTCCCAAAGTGCTGGGATTACAGGTGTGAGCCACCATGCCTGGCCAGTGGTCTCTTTTTGAACACTCTCAGTGACGGGCTGCTCTCCACCTTCCCAGGCAGCCCATTCGATTGTGGAGTTTCACAAAGTTCTTCCTTAATCAACGGAAATCTGTTTTCCCTTATGGGCCACAGGGGAGACAATTCTTCCTGCTTCCATACCACAGACCTTTAGCCACGGGGAGCCAGCTCTTGAAGTGCACTCACCTACTGAGCCCTCTGAAACTGCAGACCCACACGACACAGCGTTCTTCTAGGTGCCCCACGCCTCTGTCACTCACTTGCTGTGGCTGGTCATTCTTTTGGAAATGAGCAGAAACCGAAGTGCCCATTTGCTCTGGTCACCTCTGGGCCAGACTGTGTAGGTGTGGACTTGTCATTTGTCCCTAATAACTTCCATCTCCTTGGACTCTGCCTATCATTCCATGCTGTAAGGATCTCTCTGGTTAGATCCAACCTTTCTGGAACCAGATCTTATTCAACACATGTGTCTGCCTCCTCTGGGTAATCTGCAGACTTGATGGGACTGCTATCTGCATCTACCCTCAGGTTTTGAACCGACACATAAACAGCCAGCTGAGGACTAAGTCAGGAAAACAGCCTCAGGAGTCTTTCTCCTGGACCCAGCTCCCTTCTTTGTTTGTTTTGTTTTGTTTTTCTTTGATGTCATTCATCAGCAAGTAAGAAATCTGCCAAGCAATCCGTACAACCCCCGATTCTCCATTTTTGTACACCAAGATATTGTGAAAGACAGGCTAAAATATAAAAACACTCTGCCCTACTACAGCTAGTACAGAAAAATAAATTGCTTTTATGATTGTTGTTAGAGAACCTATTTTGGCTCCTATAGATCATCATTTTTTATCCTAAATGCTTGCAAATCACTAACTTAAAAATCTATTAGTCCCACTAGGATGGCCATACTAAATAAGATGGATGATGAAAAGTGTTGGCCAGGATATGGTGAAATCAGAAGCCTCATACATGGCTGGTTGCAATGAAAATGGTGCGGCGACTTTGGAGAACAGTTTGGCAAAAAAAGTTAAATATGGAGTTACCATATGACCTAACAATTCTAATTCTAGGTACGTATCTGTGCAGAAAAGTTAATGCAGCAGATCTTAGACGTCTGTCCTCAGAAAGGCCTGCTTGCGAGGTGGGTCCTCAGCTGGTGTCTAGGAACCTGGGTTTTGCGAGTGCTTCTATCAGTCTCTAACTGATAAAGGTGGTTTCCTGTGTCTGGACTGTTTGTACAATGTGGCTTATGCTAAACAGCTACTTTCCTTCTGGAGTCTGGAATGCTGGTACTTGTTAGAAAGGGGGTGGCT